GGGGAGGGGAGGGGGGAGGGATTCTTGCTTGAGCAGCGAGTGGCGGCGGGGGTGGGGGCAGGGGGAAGCCAGGCAGACACTGCTGTGCTTGCAGTCTTCACCTCCTTCTCAGCCAGCCAGAGCTCTGGCTAGGGAGGAGAGGGGCTAGGCCAGCCCTGCTCTCTGGAGCTGACAACCTAGCCTAGCACAGCCCAGGGCTGAGAAGTATGCTGGGATGCTGGGGGACTCTGATTTAACTTAAACCAGGAAGGGATCTAGGACAGAAATTCCATAAACTGGTTTGGCCTAAATCAGTTAAGTCTGATACTACATTCAACAAGGTTTATTTTAAAGCAGTTTTGGCCATTTTGAAACTGGTTTATGTACACTCACCTTATGTTCTTTTAGAGGTTTAAACCAGCTTCTCCTAATTTAAACCAGTTTATGTGTAACTTCTGTCCGTAGCCCAAAGTTTAAAACTAACTGTCTGGCAGTGGCAGTAGCTTTTCTAATCAGGTAGTGCAGAGGGAGTCTAATGACTTCAAGGCTCATTATAATCTACCTGACCCCTTCTAAACTCTCCATTCCACAGGTGTTAATGATCCTCTCTTCTTTTTACTGGTCTTAATGTTCCACCAATCAAGCTATCCCTTGTTCCTCAATTCTGCTGGCTGTTAGCTGATCTTCTAAAGAAGTTCCTGTTTCATGGCCTGGCAGATTATTTTTACCTCATTCCAGTGAAGTTAGATTTGTTTTTGCTTTGACCTTAAACTGAATAATATAGCTCTTAGCATATTAGTAAAGCTTCTAGTGTACTTTTAACTGGAGAAAAATAGATGTTGTTTTAGATGTGATAATGCACCGCACCATTTGCACCCCCCTTTTCAAAATTCTAGATTCTCTTTTCTCTCTACTAGGCCATTTCTCTTCTAGTCTTCAGGGGATATTAAATTAGTGAGTGCTAATACCTTTTGAAAATGAGGCTTGAACTTTTGCAGTTGTAAGCAGATATTATAAAATGTTTAATAGTACTGGCACTTAATATTTCAGATTTTTGGAAAAACATTATTCTGGGTTCTTAAGAAAAGACCCAGTACTCATAAAACAATATACATTTTAAAGTTATATGCATTAAACAACCCCCCCACCATTATTCTCTAGCTTATTAATTTCCTAAGACAATTCTAAACATCGATAATATATTCTTACTAACATTTACATCATCACCCGTGATGAAGATTGGGTAGTCAGAATGCTAATAGTTTTTTGAATGACAGAATAACTCACTTTTTCTTAAATTCTGTACTGATAACAGTGAAAAAATTATCAATACAAGTTAACAGACATCACCTGTATTTTATAGAAGCCAAAGGGAGCCTGCAGTGATAGGTTCCCTGGCACTGGTTCTAAACACATCAGTATTAATGGAATATGACTGCTTTCAGTTGCACTGAAAAAAGCAAGATTTGAAATTGGTAGAAACTGTCTCTTTGCTTTCAGCTGAGGAGATGGCTCCAAACTGTTACAGACCAAAACAGTTCCACTGTTAATGCTGCTAAGTGAACTTACTAGGAATTGTGGAGGCAGTCTAACTATTTTGACTTCTCAAGATGCACTGTTTTGTGTGCAAGGTAGAACAGAAGGTAAAACACCTTTCCAATAAACCAACCCTCTTTCCACTGAGGGAACTACTATTGCTAGAGCTTTCCCCAGGGCTGGTAGTGATAGGAATCTTGAGATAACCTATAAATATGAAAGTCATTAACAAATATTACTTTGAAACATATCATTATTACAAGAAAACATTAAAGGGTGTGCGTGTTCTGCATGATTCCCAAGGCCTGCTGCAGAAAATAGCAGAAACGAGCATGGTAAAATTACTACTATACATTACTTACTATTACACTCTTCACATAGCCAGCAGTTTCAAGAGTCTAGTAAAAAAAATAGATATTGTCATTAACTGCAAAGATAAAATATTGTATTAGTTTTCTTGATCTGATTCAAGCATTATGCGTTCATCGTATAGCCCATTCCATATTTAAAAAAACAAAATAATTTCATTTATTTTGTAAAGAATCTACAGAGGATGTGATAATCCAAGAGAATCAGGCCATTTCTCTTGGGGTGATTAACATCCTGTGGGGCTGCTAGTCTAAGAGCTTTAATCAGCATTTCAAAGAATATTTTTAAAACACTCAATGTCTGATTTTGCAGTCCATGCTTAGACACATTTTTATTGGCTTCAATGCAAATTTTGATTATGAGAATAGGGAACTTCTAGGGCCAAGACATCACTTCCAATTTTCCATGTGCAAAATGATGAAAACCAAGTGGATCTAAGAGGAGAGATGTAGAAGTGGAGAGGTGTGCTGCTTTTACAACATCACAGTGCCCTTTCCCTTGCCAAGAATACTTCTTAGTGTTTTGAATACTGAGAACCTTGTTCACATTAATTTTAGACGACTCAGGGAGCTCTTAACCACCATGAAGATGTGTAAACTAGTTTTAAGCACCCTTTAGGCGTCTTAAAGTTACACCATTTTAGGGCAGGTTTATCTCTGATCCGTTTTACCCTGCGTGTGTTCCACAAAAGTGTACCCACACCCCTAAGATAAGGCACCCAAGTTTCAGTCCTCCAGTATCCTAGGATGCCGTGTGCCTTGCCCCCAGCGTCTTGTTCTGTGTAGACAAACTCTCCACCCCCTGAACTCTACTGTCCAGAGGCTGGCACTGGCACCAAGCCAACTCTTTCCACCCCTGGGGGTGTGACCTGACCAGGCAGCTTGCAAGGGCACAGACCTGTACAGAAGGGAAGCGCAGCGTGGGTACAGGAGACAGCAAGGTAGTGGGCCAGATCAAGGCCCCTGTGAGCTGGGGCTTTCCTTTGGGGACAGGGGCAGTAACCCAGGATCCTGGCCCTTGCCCCAGCCCTGGCCCCACCCCTGCCCACCTGTCCCACTCCTGGACACCACTCCTCACCCACCTGTGGCCCCGTCCCATTCTGCCTGGTCAACCACAACCTGCCTGTAGGGGCCACTTAGGGAGTTTTGGGAAGCTGTTGAGGGTGTAGGGGGGGTGCTGACCTGGCATGGGGGGAGAGCAGGTGATAATAAATCAGCCTGCAACAGCTCACCAAAACACCCTAAGTGACCCTTCATCACAAATAATTCCCCCACCCTTGCTTTAGTGGCTTCAGTGGCTAACTTCATTTCAGCACCCAGCCCCCAGCTGCTGTTCCCACCCACTGCCTATCAACCTCCCATTTCCCAGTCCCCATCATTAAACTCTCTCCCTACCAGCCTCATGCTCCTGACTCCACCAGCCCATCTCTCTAGCCCACCCCACGTAGATGAGGAATAGAAGCCTATCCTAGCTCACCAGCCCTCTTGTGGAAGCTCACAGCTGAAGCTCCTCGTCAGGCCCCTGCTCACTAGCCCTCTAGTGGCAAGTCATAGCCGTGCAGGTCAGGAACAGTCAGAGAAGGTTTTTAGCTTGAATGCGCGACTGCTCTGAACTCAAACAAGCACTAACACCAATCAACATTTGAGAAGCCTATAGTGCAATGCGTAACAAAGCCCTGAGAGCGCCAGGAAGATATTCTTTCTCTGAAACAAACATTTCTCAACCCAGTGGCAATGTCTCACTGAAGCTAATGGTGATTAGAAATGCACCCTGAATTTGAAAAAAACAGTATAAGTTCACTAAATTTCCACTGCTTTAAGCAGCACTAGCTCGCAGAGGTGATATAAATTCCAGAAAGGCAATAAATTTGGTGATACCTTTTACTGGACCAACTGTATAGTTGGGGAAGATGTTAAACAAGCTTTTAGACATTGAATAGCACTTTCTGCAGAGTTGGTGTGATTAAAACTATCACCAAGAAAATCTTTACCGCTTGTGTATGTCCTGGACTTTTAGAGCCATTATAATGCTCCAACCCTAACATATATTCCATTGCCATTCTGGTATGGGCTTTGGGTATTTTTGCGTAAGAAATCATTCAAGGTATCATTTTCTCCCCAACACACCAGTGTTCTGGAGCCTCATCTTTGCTAATCACAAAAAGGAAAATCATGAGAAAGAAAATGAATGTTAAAAGCTCTCAGCATCATTACAAACAATGGAATGCAGAAAACAGTCCCTTGTGTAGTTCAGACTCGATCTTGCTCCCATTGTAGTCAGAAAGAATTTTTGTCACAGATTTCAATGGGGATAGAGTATGGTCGTTAATGTGCTTACTAGAGGCTCGCAATAGCTGAGTGAAGCCCCCTTCTGCAAATACAAAGCTGTTGAAGGGTTTGTTTTCAAATAAAGTTCTTTCAGAATCCTCTTAGATTCAGTTCAGTTACTATAGATTGCTATAAAGGGAAGTCTACAGAAATCATCATTGTGTTTGACACAAATAATGCCTGGTTGCTCAAGGTTTTATTTTCTTTTGTGATGACCTAGGCCACCAGATTCAAGAAAGCCTGTATTGCTTCATTACCTTAGAGAGTTCATCTATAATATTTTGCTGTTCAATAATTTGTAGTCTCAGAAATTCAACTTCTCTTTCTTCTTGACTATGGTCAAGGTCATTTAAAGAGCTCGGTCTCCTTATTGTCCCAGCTCTTTGCCTCTAAAAAAAAAAATACACACAGAAATAGCGGACAATTAACTTTGCCAAAATAAGAGTATATGTAATTCTTCCTTTTTTCCAAGGAGTAATTTGTCTAGGATAATCGACAAACTAATGGTGAGTGATGCTTTCTCTTTTCTTAAACAATAAATATGGATGGAAAAGCAAAGTTGCTCTTCAAGATAGAGGAAGCTAGAAGCTAGGGTATTAGGGAGGTACCTTGCTCAGAATCACCTGGTGGTCCACATATTATATTTACTCAAATGTATGACAACCCCAGATTTAAGATGACCCTCCCCAAATTAGATTCTATATATGGAAAATGTATAAATTTATTATAATTTTCTAGGCATAGAATCTAATTATTGGAGGGCTATCTTAAATTCATTCCCACTCCCCACCCCCAGCTACAGCAGGGAAAGCAGTGGCTGGGGAATTGGGGTCAGGCCCTCTGCCTCCCCCCAGTTCTTCCCCCTGTAGTCTCCCTGTTCCCCTGCTGCCTGAACTGCCTCCTCATTCCCAGCTCCTCACAATCTCTGCCCTTTCCCTGCACCCATTCTCCTGACAGTAAGGAAGTGCGGGGGGATAGGGGACAGAAGCTGCAGAGGGCAAATGGAGAGGTGGAGTAGGAGACTGCTGTGAATCTGACACTGCCCATGACTCAGGCTCAGGGCCATAATCATAAGAGCCACATGTCCCCTACCTTGCCATGTTTCCCGCCCCCCCATCCCCTCCTAGACCCCACTCTCAGACCCACCTGTGCCCTGTGCCCTGGCTAGCTGGCATATGCTGCACAGGCTGTTTGCATGAGGTTGCACCCTTGAGGGTGGGAAGGTTGCACCTCCAGAGATGGGAGGGGGAAATTGGT